AGGCCTCAGCAATCCTACTCCCTGCCTGGCTCAGTCACCTGGGCTATCCTCTCCCCCAGGCATCAGTTTCCCTGTGTGAAAGGAGAGAGTCTATGACCCATGGTCTCACACATCCTGGGACTGTCCAGAACCCCCCCCCCCCGGGAAGGTGGAGCCCACCTTGACATCTGTTTAACCTCCTTCTAAATTATGTCATCATAGCTGTCCCTCCCCTTTATGTCCCACTTGGGCCCTGCCTAGTGGTCGGGGCCCCTGGGGAGACAGCTCTGACTGGCAATTCTGCCTGTTCCAGGCTGGGCTTCCTGCCCTTCTGAACTGGGGAATCCCCTGGGCTCTGGGGGCCATCTTAGACTCTCCCAATCAGTGATGCCCCATCTTATAGGTGATACCCCCAGATGGCTGGATTCTGCTCTTATCTGACCTCCTCCCTAGGTCTACAGCAGTGTGGTCAGAGTGGGGCTGACTTGTTTGCTAATTGCTGACTATGGACCAAACACCTTGGGCCTGGCTACTGGGGCAGAGATGGGAAGGGATGGGCAGACAGAGGTGAGGGTAACTACCTCCAGGGGATTATGACCTCAGAGTTCAGACAGACTCAGGCCTAAGGAGTGTCCTCCAAAGGGTAGGCAAAGATAAGTGCCAGGAAGAGCCAAGACTAAGGGCCACACTGAGTAGAGATCTGACCCTCTCCTTCTGGTCAGGAAGAGCAGCACCTGCCAGGCCTGGGGGAGGCAAGGCTTTCAGTCCACAGAAGATGTACTTCGGGTACCAGTGTGAGTAGAGGCTGGGAGGCCAGAGTAGGTGAGGGGATGCCATCCTCAGGCATGAGGTATTCGGGTAGGCTCTGGGGAGCTGGAGGAAGGGGCTGGGGACTCTGGCTGTTTGTGGGAGGGTCAAGGAATTCTCTTAACATCCGTTCAACAAAAAGTCCCCTTTACGTGTTAGGCATATGGTGTTCTAGGCTGGGAATTCAGTAGGGACCAAGACAGATGCAATCCCTGCCCTCTGGAGCCTATACTTCAGTTGTGAGAGACAGGAACAGTATCATGCAAGTGTGATGCAGAAGATCCTACTGCTCAGAGTGTGGTGCTAGGGCTGGGGGACACGTTAGGCCAGGGAAGGCTACGGTGACATTTAAGCCAAGATCTTAGGGATCCAGAGATTTGGGGAAGAGCATTCTAGGCAGACGAGCAGCAAGTGCAAAGTCCCTGAGGCATTGAAGAACAATTCACATAACTGGGGCAAGGAAAAGAGAAGAAAGGAGGTGGATGAGATCAAGGAGGCAAGCAGGCCCCTACAGCTCAGGCTGAGGCCCATGGACTTATTCTGTGCGTGATGGGAAGTCGTTAAAGGGTTTAAACTGGGAACTGATTTTTAAAAATCACCGTGGCAGCAGTGTGAAGGCTGGAAGACCAGGGCACGGCTGTCCAGATGGTAGAGGATGATGGCCGGGACTGGGGTGCTTGCTGGGAGGGGGCAGGAAGATGGCACCTGGGATGTGGTTTGGAAGCAGGGCCAACAGGACTCCTGATGGTTGGCTGTGAGGTGCCAAGGTTGTCAGGGCAGCTCTTCGCTTCCTGGCTTGAGCACATGATCCAATGGCGTGGCCATTTTCCGAAGAGGGGAATAGTGGGAAGAACTGGCTAGTGAGAGGTAGATCGACTGCTGGATAGGGCTGGAGGCACCAAGGAGATAGTTGTCAGGTTTAAGTCTGGAGTTCCAGAGACAAAGGGAGCTGACTCATCTTTAGCAGAGACACAAGAACCAAGGTTCCCATCCAGCCCCAGGAGCCCAGAGATTCAAATGAGCCAACCATCTGGAAGCCCCCAGAAGGACCAAAGCAGGGGCCAGCTGGGAAGGACCCTGCTTTCAATGCCTCCTTCATATCTGCCGGGTGAGCCAAGACCACCTCAGCTCACCCCAAGGCTGCAGAAGTAAGCCGATTCCACAAAGTTGGCTTTTCTGAGCCAAGGTCCAAATGGGCTGGATGGTGTTGCCTTGGAAACCCTGGAGGCCAGCTGTCCAGGTGATCCTCTGCCCTCCCCTACCAGGCCTGGTGTGGGAGGGTCTAGAGCCCACCCTTACAGGATCCCACCATGGCTTAAAATGCTCCTTCAGAGTGTCTGGGACTACTCCCCTCTATCACCACGAGTTAGCTGTGTGTCCTCAAGTAAGCCACTGACGTCTCTGGGCATCGGCCTCCCCACTGGAGGCAGTTGGAGGAGTAATTCCCTTCAGCCTCAGCTGAGGCAGGACAGCCAGAATGATGGGGCTGGGGGAGGGGCACTGTCCCTACACATGTGGCCCATGGCCCCTGCCTCACTCCCCTGTCCAGACTCTCAGTTCCTTGGGGCCCACTCATGGCAGACGGGCATCACTCCTGGGTATCCCTTCTGCAGGGAGAGGAGGTGGCTGCTACCACCAAAGCCGTCCTCCAGGTCCCTCGCTCCTCCATGCCAAGCACATTAGGGGATAATTAAGTAAAAATAGGTCTTCCGACCAGTGTAGCTCATTAAGGCCTAATTAAGTTAATTAGTTCCAGGTGTGGATGGCGAGGCTCAAGTGAGGCGACGGCTGTTTGCTGTAATTGCATTTTCGCTGCAGCAGCGGTGGCGGCGGCGGTAACTGTGGTGGCAAAGGCGGTGGCTTCCTCTGAGGCCTGGAAACCCGCCAGGGAGGTCGGGGAGGGGTCTGGAGCAAGCAGGCCTGGACCACCCACAGAGAGCTGTATAGCCAGAGGTTCCAGGTCAGCAGGCCCCAGGGAAACCTGCACTCTCTGCAGGGATGGTGCGAGGCTGGGGGAGCCAGGGGAGGGGGGAGTACAAGGCCACCAACAGGCATCCTCCCCCCTGGCTGAGAGTGGCGGGTGCAGGTGCATCGTGGCTTGTCCTTTGGATTCCCTCACACCCATGGTGGTCCCCAGGAAGACTGGCAAATGGCTTTGCTAAAGGGGAATGTGTGACTCCGAGGCGGTGGTGAGACCTATAGGAATCCACCTAAATCACCCCCTCCATTTGGCTCGAGTCTCTAACTCCTGTTCCTTTCTGCTGCAGGTGCGTGGCTCTGAGACCCTCTCTTTGTGGTTCAAGGCAGGAGTGGGGCCACACAAGTCTGGGGTCTCTGCAGGGGACCTGCTGGCCTCATCAGTCTCCTGCCCCAGACGTCTCCCCAAACCCACTTCCTGCCGCAGCTTCAGGACTCACCGGTGTAGGACAGCCCTCCCAGCCTTGGTTGATGAGGCAGCATGGGGCAAGCTGAGGGCAAATACAGGCTGACAGCACGCTGCCCCCCACCCTGGCCCCCTCCACCGGGGGGAATATGTGTGATATTCCTCGGACACTCCTGGCTACCCAAGGACAAAGGAAAGGGGTTTAGGTGTTTGCCATGGTGATGTGGGAAACTAAGGCAAATGAAAAATCAAATTCCCTTATGCCTACAGCCCATTGACAGGTCCCTGCAACCAGCAGAGTGACCTCCCTCTAGGAGCTCAGCTGCCTCAAGGATGACACTTTGCTGGGGGCAAAAGAGAATCTTAGCTTAACATTATCCCAACCTCGAGGATCCTGTAAGTCTACTGTATCTCAACTGCCCCAAGATATATGCTGGCAATCATACTCCAAGCTTATGGCCCCCAGTATACATCTGAAGGGTCTCATGACTGAGGTTTTATTAAACGGTAATAAATGGTGTTTCCCTAGCAACAGCTAGCCCCTCAAAGTCCCAGAAACCTTGCTTCCAAAATTCCTTGGAGACTTACTCTATCCCTGACTGACCCCCTCCCAACCTGAGGGTATAATGATGAGTTACCCATCATGACCCCAGTGCAGCTCTCCCTGTCCTGTCCCCATGCTTTAATAAAATTACCTTTTTGCACCAAGGGCGTTTTCAAGAATTCCAAACCCCATGAATCCCCGATCACCCCAAAACTTCATCATTGGTCACATCCCCTTCACTCATCCGTTTGTTGCTCACTAGGTATCTCCTCTGTGCCAGCCAGCAGAGCCAGGGCTAGAGACACAAGGCTGGGTGGGCTAGATTGGACCCTGCCCCATGGCACCTTTGGTCTCTCTGAGGAGGCAGACATACTAATCGCCCTGGCCACATGGTTTTGTGACGGCTAGTGGAGCACAGGTGTGCTTACTCCCAACCCAGGAGGAAAGATGTCTGAGCTGCAATGAATATGATCCAGGAGAGGCGGGGGTCAGGTACCTGGGGTGTGCCAGAAGCTAAAAGGGCCTCCTTTTGGTGGGAGGGAGTGTAGAGAGTGAGGGGCCAGATCTGGGGGGGGGCCATGGAAGGGTCTGAGCAGGGCTCCGGGGTAGGAAAGGAACTGGTAACTCTTAGCTGGTGGCTGGGAGGCCAGGGAGGAGTGGCTGGACTTGAGGGATGTTTGGGGATGGAAAGAGTTGGTCGTGGTGCACTGGTTGGCTGTAGGGGTGGGGAAAGAAGAGCCCGGACCCCCTGAGGAGGGGCTTTGGGAGTGGGCTTGGGTTCTGAGACCCCACAGGGTTGGGACTAGGGTGAGGCAAGTGAAGTGCCTAGGATGCAAAATTGGGGGTATTCACTCCCGGCCTTGTGTTCCCATCTGTGCCCCATCCCTCTGAAATTTCTCACTAAGAATGTGGAAGCCACCTCTAGGGAGGAGCAAGGAGGATAATTCTGGACAGGGTGTCTCCTTCTGTCCTTAATTTTTTTTTTAAAGTATATAAACATTTTTTTAAATGTTTATTTATTTTTGAGAGGGGGAGAGGCAGAGAGAGAGAGGGACAGAAGATAAGAAGCAGGTCCTGTGCTGACAGCAGACAGCCTGATGCGGGGCTGGAAACCATGAACCGCAAGAGAGAGATCATGACCTGAGCCTAAGTCGAAGCTTAACCAACTGAGCCACCCAGGCGCCCCTCCCCCCTTTAATCCCTACTTGGGAGATGCTGCCTTCTCTGCACCCTCCAGGGCTGGGGTGGGGCTGGGATTGACCCCTTAGGATATTATATCCTCTGGACAGCTACTCCATTTCCATTCTGATGCAGGATGACAAGTGCCCCATCCGGCTTCTTCCTGCATGCCACTTATGACAGGGAGCTCCCTGCCACCTGGGCACCCAGTCCCCTGGCTCCAGCCATTATAAAAAATGTTTCACCCTGAGCCCCCAAACCTGGAGATTTGCGGTGTCTTCTACCCAGTAGTGGCCTCAGCTTTGCCTCTGACTCTTTCCCACCCCTCTGGTGGGTCTGCTGATCCCCTTTCCCAAGACAGCTTAACATCTCTGGGCTTCAGTATCCCTGTAAAAGGGGAAACAATACTAGTCAGCACCTTCTAGGGCTGGTGTGAGGATTCATGGCCTGATGTGCATAAACCTCACAACACACACCAATTCCTCAATAATGGGTCACTAACTGATAACAACCGTGAATAACTACATGGGTGGACACTGTCCTCCTCCTGGTGTGGGCTGCCCAGTGATGTAGCCTCAGCCTAGGCCCCAGAACTCACCTGTTGGCCTCAGGTTGCAGGCTCTACTGTGTCCCTCTCACATCCAACACAGACACAGGGCTAATCCCAGAGGACGATGTTCATGGGGAAGAGGGAGTAACACTTTCACGAGATGACCAAGTGGTGCTGAGTTATGGGCCTGCCCTGCTGGTGTGAATTGGTTCTCCGCTCAGTGTTCACTCCAGCTGTAGGAGCAGCCTTGGTGCCTCCTCTCCTGCCCCCTTCTCCTCAAGTCTCTCAGGGGGACGGGTGGTGGCTGAGAAGGAGGGACGCAGACCTACCCTGTCTGCCAATAGGCATCTCTGGGGCACATCACTAGACCCTGTCGTGTCTTTGGGGCTGTCCTGGTGGAGGGGGTCTCTTCTCAGCCTGAGGCGCCTGCACAGCCCGGGGTCCCACAGAGGGGGCAGTCCCAGCAGAAGCTCATTCCTAATAGGCGCAGTTGTGTGGATCATCACCAGACTCCTGCCATGAGACTGCGGTGTGGGGAGCCTGGGGCAGGAATCCCTGACTCCCCTGAAGAATCAGAAAAGCCAGCCCGGGACAGAAGGACAAGTGGTGCTGTAGCCTAGTCCCTAAAGCCATCCTGTGACCCTCCTTCTGTGCTGTCTCATTCCAGGAGCTGTGTCCACAGCTGGCTCCTGCCCCCAGGCTCTCTGCTTCTGCTCCAGGGTTGGTTCCCGGTTGAAAGTCAGAGCTTGTCAGACCGCAGTGATCGTGCTCACCAGCTCTTGGTGACCCAGGAGCTCTGGATTCCTGTCTGAGGGGCAAGAGCACCACTGAGGAGGAACTAAGGGTGCAAAGGTCCAGAGCAGCGAGGGTGGATGAAGGGATGCCAAGTCCTGGGTAGTCCGGGGGTGATTCTGGGGGAGCAGGGGATGTGGGGTGTGTGTGGGGCTGGCGAGGAGCCGGCTTTGTGCTGAGGGGGCCTTGTTCATTTTCACCCTGGCTTCAGGAGGGAGGGTTTGCTGAAGGTTCGTAGACCTCGCTTGTTTTTACAGACTGGGGGCTCAAAGAAAAGAAGGGATGTGCCCAAAGTCACATAGCAGGTGGGACCTGGGCCACCAGAGCCTGCTCCCACCCCTGCCAAATCCTGGTGACTAGGTTCCTCTCTATGGGGTATGTCAGAGGAGGGACTACCTAACCTCTGGGGTTCAACTTTATTTGGTTTAGGGGCCTGCCTTGGGGTCCTGCATCCCCAGGAGGTCTTGCTTATTGTGGCCTGATCTAGGCCAAGGCCCAGGTTTGCTCTGTGCCTTAGTTTCCCAAGTCATACAGGGGAGTTCACAAAGTGAGATTTGGCCTGTACTCTTTGCCTCTTCTCACAGTGCACAGGGGAGACGGGTGGTCCACAGCTCCGGGCAGAGAGGGGACAGGAGTGCCTGGGGCCCAGGTCACCTCCAGGCCTGTAGATCCAGCTCTGAGGGTGTAGTCAGCAGCCAGGAGAGGAGGCTGCAGGGGCTGGTGGCCAGAAAAGCCCAGGGTTTCTGGTATCTGGTGTTCTTTAACCTGCCCTCCAGCCCCCTCTGCCTTGGGTTCACGGCTTCACCCCAGCTGAGTGCATCCTGAGGCAAGGCTCTCCCCACCTCTGCTAATTATGGCTGGTCACAAAAGCTGGACCGTGACCAGACAAAGGGATAGGGATGAAAGTGCTGGTTGTCATGGCAACCTGGAGGGTTGCTGAGACCCAGGGGAGGGGCTTGGCTGTGTGCCTGAGCCCAGGCATCTGGATGACCTCTGAGCATAAGCCAGGGTGGCCCAGGGGCTCATAGGGATTCCCCCTCCTGTTCTGGGCCTACCAGAACTGGACGTACAATGGCAACTTCACCCCCTCCATGGCAACACCTGCTCCATGGGCCTCTCCCAGTGGCCCCATTATCCTGCACCTGCTGCCCCCCGTCCCACACCTGCTCCCCAGTCCAGGCGCCCTTCCCAAGGTCCCCTCTGCCCATCCCCAGGCCCAGCTGCCTGCTCTGAGGGCCAGCCAAGAGGGGCTGTGGAATCAGGAAGGGTCCCAGGGAGGGCCCTGGGCAAGGGCAGAGGGTACAGCTGCCAAGCCAGCTCTGCCTGATCAGCAGTGCACGTGCTCATGACAAGACCTCCTTCAGGGCCTCAGTCTTCTCACCCACAAAATGGGAACAGCCATTCCTGCCCTCAGGGCCTACCGAGAGTAAGTTTATTTCTGCTTGGAAGGAGATCTGAGACCAGGATGTCACCAGAGCTGGGTCAGAGTAGACAGTGAGGTTGGAAAGAGAAGAGAGAAGGGGTCGTCTTGGGTCATATTCTCAGGGCCATCTCTGTTAGACCACTTGGAGACCTGAATGTCTTCCTGTCACAGCTTGGAAGGTCACAGCTTGGAGCCCGAGAGGACATTTTCCAGGGGACCCTCAGGGTAGAGGGGATCTGGGCAGGAACCCCATCAGTACCAGGTTCTTGAGTGGCCTGTCAGGAGTACTAAGGGACACCCCTCCGCATCAGGGAGAGTGCATACTCCCAGAGAATGGCCTGAGGGGTCTCTGGTGATCCAGTAGTTCAATTCAGGTCAGGAAACTGAAATCCTAGGAGCTGTAGTTTCTGGCTGTCTGGTATCCCACCACCAGAGAGTGGAATGGAGGGATAAGAGAGCAGGAGGCGTGGCTCGCCAATGCCCCAACTGCTCCTGGAAAGGGATGGGGATTCCCATGGCGACTGGTTTTTGTCCTGTGGCTCACATTCTAGAGGTTCCCTACACCCTATGGGACAGCCCCAGTTTCTCCTCATACTTGGCTGTAACCTTGGGTGAGGCCCTTCCCTTCTTGCCACCTCGGTTTGCCCACCTGGAGAGTGGGAGCAGATTGTCAAGGAGGCGGTCAGCTCCAGCTGCTGCCCCAGCTGTTTGAAGGCTCCCTAGCCATCCTGGCCACTGATGGCCGCCCCATCTCTCTAGTGAGGAATTTCCTCCCTTGAACAAAGTATCCTTACTGACCTGTCTGGAATTTCTTTTCTCTTTTCTTTTCTTTTCTTTTCTTTTCTTTTCTTTTCTTTTTTCTCTTTCTTTCCTTCCTTCTTTCTTTCTTTCTTTCTTTCTTTCTTTCTTTCTTTCTTTTATTTCCTCCTTCCTTCCTTCCTTCCTTCCTTCTTTCCTTCCTTCCTTCCTTCCTTCCTTTCTTTCTCTCCCTCCCTCCCTCCTTCCTGCCTTCCTTTCTCTCTCTTTTCTTTCTTTCTTTCTTTCTTTCTTTCTTTCTTTCTTTCTTTCTTTCTTTCTTATTTACTTATTTTGAGAGAGAGAGCACACGTGCAGGGGAGGGGTAGAGAAAGAGAGAATACAAAGTAGGCTCTGCATGGTCAGTGCAGATCCCGACATGGAGCTCGAACTCTCGAACCATGAGATCAGGAGTCAGATGCTTAACTGCTTAATCGACTGAGCACCAGGCACCCCGACCTGTCTGGGATTTCTTACATATTCCCTCCCAGAGGTGTGGCAGGGGCAAAGCTTTTGCCAGGAATGGGGGCATCTGGGGCAGGGCAACAGTCCTGGTGTCCCTCAGACCATTCTGTATAGGTGGTTCTGGTGCAGGCCTCAGCAAGTCTTGTGGACTCCACTGTGCAGATGGAAAAACTGAGGCCTAGCAAGGGAAGAGATTTGCCTAGTGAGTCAGCAGCAGAACCCAGGCCTCCTTCCCTGTTCATAGAACTTTCTAGGGGTGGGTCAGAATGGTTGTCTGGTCCCCAGACTCAATAAACTCAGGCTCCCTGGAGAAGGGAGGTGGGGGCACTTGGTGGGTCATGGAACCATGATGATGAGGCCATCCCCAGTCTGCCAAGAGATCATTCAGTCAGTGTTCAGTGTTCAGTGAGTTCCTTGGGGCCAAGGGGAAATCAGAGGCACTCAGAGCCTAATTACAACAAACAGCTTCCTGTGTAGGGGTCTATCACTGGGACCCCCTCTTGGCCCCTGCTCCTGGAGAGTGGAAACTCAACATCCTGGACCCTGTTCTGGGGATGGTCTGGAATTTAAGGTCAGAGGGAGGTAGGCTGGGGAAGAGGGTGTGAAGGTGAGACTGTGTACAGCTGGTCGATGGTCACCATCTCCGGGGTGGTGGCTCTCATGTGTGTTATTGTTTCTTAGTTATCTCCCTAAGGGTTCTTCTAGGACTCATCGATCGGCAGGGCTGCTGGAAAAGCAGCACCCCCACCGCCACCCCCCACCATTCCTGCTGTTCAAGCCCACCCTCCAGTTGGGTGACACAGCAGTGACCAATGTATGGTTGCCTACCAAGGTGTACTGACCATGGTCCTTTGGGCCCCTGAAGAGAGTATAAGCGTGTTCTGTGGGCTGAGGCAATCAGGGAGGGCTTCCTGAGGAGGTGTGGCCTGAGATGGGATGGGAAGTTGTAGAAAAACTGAGAGGGAGGAAATTCTCACTAGGAAGCTCCACGTGAGTACAGGTGGCAATGGGTTTGGGCTGGGGGCTAGGATGAGGCCTCAGCATTCATGGGCCGGGGTCCTCAATCTTCCAGTCTCCCAGGAACTCCTACTCCTCCCTGAGTGCTGGGCTTTTAAGGTCTTATCTGTCAAGCTGACCTCATGGATCCAAGGAGAATTAATTTGTCTCCATTTTTATTCATCAAAGAAAGTTCTGGTCAGAGCTGCTGAAGCCAGCTGGCCAATGATAGAGAAGGGGGAAGGTCAGAGGCAGCCTAGGGAGAGCGGTGAACCCCAGACCTCGCCTAGCCCTCTGACAGCCCCCATGTCTGTGACTCAGTTTCTCTTAGCAGCTCAGAGCCCCTGGCTTAGAAAACCAGAGGGAGATCTTGGGGGCCCAAGAGGCTGGCTGGGGGCTGGTGGGGAGTGGATAGCTCCAGCCATCCTGTCTGGATGCCTGTCGCCCTCTGTTCCAGCTGGCCGGCCACATGAAGGGCTCATTCTGCTGTCTATTCACACGGGACTTTCATCTCCGCCACCGCCAGTGAAGCATTGCTCCCAGCTTCAGCACTGCCAGCAGGAAGGCACAGGGGAGGGGGAGCCTAGGATTGCCATGCCCTCAGACCTCTTGCCCAAAAGGCATGAGCCTAGGTGCCCTAAACAGTCTGCTTGCCCAAGCTCTAAGTTTCCAGGCTACCAGAGATGGGTACAGGACCCCCACTCACAAGCTCTTGCAGGAACCCAGTCTTTCCTATTTCAACAAGAGCAAGGCTGGCTTCCCTTCAGCCCCCAGAGAACAGAGCAAAAGACTGCCCTCCCACCACAGGGTAGGTGGGATCCCTGGGGGTAGGGGGGAGGTCATGGCTCAGCCCCTTGTTCCTCCCTCAGGGAACAGGTAAGTATGGTGGCCTCCAGGGCAAGGCAGGAAAAGCAAAGCCTAAACCCATGCTCAGCCACTGGAGAAGATGGAGGCATTAGAGGGTGGACACTTGAGACCTAAGAGAGCAGGGACTGACCCCAGTGTCCTGCCAGGGAGGGAGGGAGGCAGTCATACCCACTGCCCACACTTACAGAGGGGCAGAGTCGAGGTGGCAGGACTGCTGGGAGAAGCAGACCCCCTGGCCCCCATGCCCCAGGTAAGGGACACAGCAGTGACTATCTCATGGTGGGGAGTGGGGGATCTGTGGGCTGGACCTTCTGAGAGTAGACCCTTCCTGCAGTGGCCTATCCATCTGTCTGGCAGCCATGGCCCCTGTGACATCATCAACCCACTGCGTTGCTTGGCAACTTTCCAGGATTAGCACTCTGCCCCTGTCATCCCTGACGTCCCACCATGGGCTGATGTTGCCCTGGCAACCCGGATGGGTACTGCAGCTTTTTGGACAGCTGTACCCAGTGTGGGAAGTGCCAGGAAAAATCCAGGAAGCAGGTGCCTCTTTCTAGGTCGAACAGGGTACACAGCCTATCCCCAGACCCACAAAGGAGCCAGGCTGTCCTAAGCAGGGCTTTGAGGGTTTTTGTCTCCTCAAAGAGCTTTGGTCAGCTTTGCCTCCAATTCCCCTTATACCCTTTCCTTCCTCCCACAATGATCACTAAGCACCTACTGTGTGAATGCCAACAAGAAAAGCAAATAACACTACAGTTTAAGCTTAGGGAAAGTTGCACCAACATTGGATCTTGAAGGATGAATAGGAGTTGGCCAGGGGTTGGTGGAGAGAGGTGTTCTGGACAGAGGAAGCAGAAACCTGTACGAAGGCCAAATCACTGTCTCCAGCCACAGCTTACGCTCTGCCTCTGGACTCCTCATGGCCTGGCCTCTCTGGCTGTCTCTTTCAACAGACATTTTAAGGCAGAAACCAGTTTAAATCTGAATGCTCAGTGCCCAGCACTGGCTTGACACTAAGGTAGCATAACTAAAATGTCAAATAGAATTGGACATTTGTTTAATGAACCTCGGGTCCTCCTACCTCCCTCAACACCAACCTGCCTCACCAAGCCTCAGTTTCCCCATCTATGAAATGGGGCCAATGCGGAGAAAGCTCTCTGGGTAAGGGTTCTCAGGTTGAGGTGGGATGGTTTTTAAATTTTCTTTTGGTTTGTAACCCACCTCTTACCCTGACCCTCTCCCCCCACTCCCCCCCCCCCACCCCGCCAAATGTTTAAGACAAGTGCAGTGGACATCAGTAAACGTTTATGTTTCTCAGTTGTCAGTATTGGACCATTTTTGCTTCATCTCCTAACTATACTTATCTATATATAAATCTAGCCAAACCATTTGAAAGGAAGTCACAGCAGCGGATATCCTGACATTTGTCCTGAAATTCTTCAGCCCACATCAGTTAAGACAGGGACAGTCTCCTATACAACCACAATATCATTTTTCACATGTAAGAAAATTAACAAAAATTCAATATCCAGGACAGACAGGAGGATCAAAGCCTGAACTCATGCCAGGTCCTTGAAGCAGATGGGTGACTGAGGCCAAAGATCGGGGGCAGGAGCACCCACTGCCCACCCTGAGGAGGCTGAGTTGCAGCCTGGTTTGTGTGTGTGTGTGTGTGTGTGTGTGTGTGTGTTTCTGTACAAGCTGAACCTCCAGAGAACAGAAGTGACCCTTTTCGCAGCGATCTGACCATCTGGCCCACAGCTGTGGCTTAGATATGAACTTCCTCAATTATTACCCCCAAATTATTCACATAACTTTACTTGTTATTTTATTTATTTTCCCCAGGATTCAATCAAAGTCCTTACCCTGCGTTTGGCTGTTTTGTCTCTTTACTCTAGAAGAGTCAGGGAGGGGAGACAGGTAATGGAGCCTGGGTTTGACAGACTAGAGGGCGGCCACTGTCCCCATCCCGCCGAGGAAAGACGGGAGCACAGGGCGGGAGGAACCAAGTCCCAGCCTGTAGGTGGTGTTGGGCGAGGGGACTTGCAGACCCGGGGAGCGTTCGGGGGCGGAAGTCCCGCCCGCCGCGCGGATGATCCCGCCCCTTAGCAACAGGCCCAGCGTCCCTCCCTAGAGACGGGCCACCAGACCGCACTCTGCTCGTTGGAGCCGGTAAGTTGGTGGCCACCGAGGGGGATGGTTGGGCCAGCAGGGGCAGGGGCACCTCGATAAGGCACAGAAGGCGAGTGGACGGGAAGGAGGACTCCCTTCCGGCCCAGGGTCCACATTCCTGTCTCTGACTGCGCATTCAGTTTCCTGAACCTCGGCCAGGGGGAAAGGAGTGGGGGGCACTTTTAAATAACCTTCCAGGTAAGCCCTGTACTTACTAGACTGACTTTTTGCCCTCCCCCCGCCCCACACGCGGAGAATGTAGCCACAACTCCCCGCCCTGTGGAAGGCCCCTGCAGGCAAGGAGCCTAAGTCCTTATCAGCCACACAGTCCCTCTCCTGATGTCAACTGCAGCCTTAGTCCTCCATGTCCCCATCTGCAAATCCTCAGAGCACCGCCGTCCCTATCTCACAGACTCGTTACAGACATCAGCTTTCTTTCCTTACTTTTCTCACTCATGAAATCATTTGGCAGACACCTTTGAGGCACCTACTCTGTGCCAAGCCTGTGCCAGTCCTGTGCTAGGTGCTGAGGTTCCAGAGACCAACGTCACCCCCAAATTCCTGCATTTGCAGCTCTAACGATCACCTGGCAGGGAGGATAGATGCGCACATACAATACAGGGAGGTGTTCGCTGGAGGGAAGAGCCTCAGACAGATGTGGGAGCACAGAGGGGCTCACGTTAGGTGAGTACTCCAAAAAGGCGGAGAGAACCCCACGCCTGTCGGGGTCATTGCCATCCACAGTAGTAGTGTTTGCCAGGTAGCCCCCACAAGGGAAGAGACTTCAAAAATCCTTTAAGCCACAGATCTATTAGATGACACCTTACACAGAACCTGGTATGTGAAACAGATACAGGGTCTTTGCTGAATCCAAGGTTGGGTGGCTCTGAATTTCTTCTGCTTTGGCCCTCCTCCCCACAAGCACTCACCAAAGAACCTCAGGGCTCTTTGGTGTACAGTTTGAGAACCATTGTGGTGTTGCTTAGGGACATGGATCTTTGGGTCAGCCAGAAGTGAAGACCTCAGTTTCCCTTCTGGTTCTGTCAGTTCTTGGCTGTGTGTCCTTTGCAAGTTTCTTGACTTCTCTGGACCTTCATTTCCTTGTTTGTGGATTGGTGATGGTAGTAGTATGTGTCATGAGGATCAAACCCCCTTGTTCATTTGTGTCCATCCAGCCAGTGCCTGGTAGGTGGTTGGGTCACATGGGGCTGAATGTCACTGAATCCAATCTGAAGCTTCTTCTGACTCAAGCAATTAGGACTCCCAGGTGGTCTGACTGGGGAGAAAGAATGCCTCGGTTTAAATTCCACCTGTGCCTCTTGCTGGCTGGCTGAACTTGCACAGGTCCCTTAACCTCTCTGAACCTCATTTGCCCTACCTCTGAGAAATGAGGATAGTCTCAGTTCTCACCTCAGAGGTTTGAACGAGATGTTGCACAAACTACATGTAAGCCCCTAATAGCATTCACCGTTCCCACACACTGTGTCTGCTGGGGCCACCCCTGCCATCTTACTGGTCAGTTTCCTCATGTAAGAGGAGAGAGTGCCCAGAGTGAGCAGCAGAGGCTTGCTGGTAACCATGTACTCACCCTCTTACCAGCCCCACTCATTCCCACATAGAGGCAGCCATCACTGGTGGGGCTGATAGGAGACAGAGGTGGGTCTGTCTGTGTATCTGTCACAGGTCCTGTGCACACCAGCAATGCACAGGTGCCTAGAGCTGGGGTGGGATGGGAAGGGAGCTGTGGATCTTTGTAAAGGGCTGAGGGATGGAGGAGAGACAGGATTCTGAGTTTGCAGCTTGCTCTCGTGCCTTCCTTCATGGAACGTGTCTGTATGGATCCCCCACTGCCAGACTTCTTGGAGGGAGTTGGCTCATGGGAGAAAAAAAAAAACCCAACACAGGCTCCTTTTGCCTCCAGTAACACTGTGCTTTCCTGGACATTTCTGCATCTGTCATCTTGGCTGAGCCTGATGACACACCAGCTCAGCAGCCCAACATATTCAAGCGCATTTGAGAGCTGGGGAAACCAGGGAGTGGGATGCCCTCCTGTGGAGTGGGGACCCCGCCTCTCCAAGAACTGCCCTGTTTGGTGATTTTGTTCAAAGATGAGCAGACATCTTTGGGTTTGCAGCCATGATGGAGCTGAGCCCCAGTGGGTCCTCTGTCCGTTAGGGTGCTCTGGGAAGGGCTGGTGACTGTCAGATGGGTAGGCCAAACTCAACATTGTTTTTAGGGCCTGTCCCAGGAGGTGGCTGACTACCAGGGAATGGGTTCAGGGAGCCGAGTTCTAGTAGGACACTGGTTAGAAACTGGTCAGCCTCTGGGCTCAGAGTTTGGGCCTTCCTGCCAGAGCCCTATCTGGCCTTTCACGGGCCCTAATGTGGTCTTGCCAACTCACCACCTCCTTCTTAGAAACGGACTCAGCACTTCAGGCTGCTTCAGCACTGCTGGGTAGCTTTGATCCAGACAGTCCTGGCTACCCAGCCCGCCTTTCAGGTCAGTCCAGACAGGATTACCCTGCAGTGATCCAACAGGAAGCCTACACCAGCCAGGCATGCTTAAAATGGAGACAACAGGGCACGAAACATCCAGCCAACAGAGCGGCTTGTACCGTGAACTCCTGGCTGCTTTGTTGCAGTGTGCAGGGGTTGGGAAATGGGATGGGGCCAGAGGAGAGGGTGATGCTTGGGTCAGGGTATTCTTTTGTTAAGATACCCTCTCTTTTTTATTGATTTATTTTTTTAAAGATTTGTTTGTTTGTTTGTTTGTTTATTTTTAATATAATTTATCGTTAAGTTGGCTAACATACCGTGTATATGGTGTGCTCTTCGTTTTGAGGGTAGATTCCCATGATTCATTGCTTACATACAACGCCCAGTGCTCATCCCAACAGGTGCCCCCCTCAATGCCCATCACCCATTTTCTCCTCTTCTCCACCCCTCCCCCATCAACCCTCAGTTTGTTCTCTGTATTTAAGAGTCTCTTACGGTTTGCCTCCCTCCCTCTCTATTTGTAACAAGATACCCTCTCTTTTTAAATGACATTGTTATTGAGATAATTATAGACTCATTCCCTTTTTATTTTTGTACCTGCATTACATGAAAACCTCTTCATCACCATAACCTTGTCCAAATCTCTTATAACCCTGCCCTGACCAAGGATTTCCCCCAGTGATACGTTTTGAGGTAGCCAAAAGCAACAGCGGCTTGGCAAGGGCTTGCTCAGCCTGTAGTAAACGTTCTGCAAACCCTTGTCCCTGGGATGGTGGATGTGTATGCAGCCCCGTGGTACATGTGCTGTTCCTGCTGGGGAGACGCAAGGGGATGCATTGCATGAGCTGAGCTGACCCTGAGAGCCAGGGCGGCTGAATACCCTTCTGTAACTGGCAGCGGGATCTGTGGGTCACGGGAAGGTCAGGATCCCTCCAGGGAGACCATTTAGTCCTCTGGTTCCTGGGTTATGGTGTGGGGCAGACACAGGTGGGGGAGACAGCGCGTGGCCCAGCACCCCACAGTAGGGAGAGACAGGGCAGTTCAGTTGGGCTGGGGCACCAGGGTTGCCTCCTGCTGAAAGTCATTTTGGGGAAAACCAAACAGGGCCTTTCACTGAGTGAACTCTGGGCCACCTTCCTCGTCTCCTTTGTGAGTAACTAGGCCTTGCTGTCTAACATGGAGGAGAGGGGGTGAGCAGGTGTAGAAGGACGCACTGCAGCGGGGGCATCTGCAGAGCTTCCCTGACTCCCCTCACTCTGCCCCTGACTCTGGGGGCTCATTTCTCACATGCCACATCCAGGGAAGGCCCTGCCGTCTCCTGGTGGGACCTGCCTGGCACTGCGTGTCTGTGTCTGTCCAAATTAGGAGACCACTTCCTCCCTCTCCACCCTCTGTGTGGCAAGCTGTGGCCGGTTGCAGGATGCAGATGAGGCATCCCTGTGTCCCGGTGCCCCTGGGGGCTGGACAGAAGCCAGCAAGGGCCCAGTGATGCCAGTATCTTCTCCTAGGAGCGCCTCAAGAAGCAGCATGGAGCAGCCTAACAGAGAAGGCTACAGCCCAGGAAGGACCCCTCAGAGCCCAGAGTGCAGCAGTACTCCTGCGGGCCAAGAGTGTAACCTGAAGAGGACCCAGGCAGACCTAGAGTATAACCTGGGGAAGATTCTTCTGGGACCAGATTTTGGCTCCAAGGCTCTAAGCCCTGACCCCAATACCCAGCCTTTACCCCTGCCCCCACCCACACTCTCAGTCTTGGGGCAGCCCCGGAAGTTGCCCCTGACAGGCACTGATAAGAAGTACCCCCTGATGAAGCAGCGTGGGTTCTACTCTGACATCCTCAGCCCTGGAAGCTTGGATCAAATGGGGGTGAGTGTGGTAGCTGTCCCCTACCAAGCCC